ATAGAGAATGCTAACGGAAAATCTCTTCTCATTCGCAGTTTAACCATTTATCTTTCGCTTGTTGCCATTTAGGTACAAAAATATCTACTGTGAACAAAAACCACGTGACTTCCTTGCACGGTCTATTAAATTATATACAATTTTTTCTGCACTTCATTTAAACTTATTTCCTCAAACTTCATTAGAGATATATTTCTCAATTCGCAGCAAGGAAAATACGTAAAAAAATCAAAACATCTTCATTAAAAATTGTAAAATACAGAAAATCCTAAAACACCAAATACAGTTGATAACAGTTAAAAAAAAAATTTTATAATTAAAATTAGAGCTCCTACACAAAAACAAGCAATTTGGCCAAGGGACAGGAAGACAAAACTTTCGGTGCTCAGAATCGAAAGTTCTTTTGCTCCCACTAGGTAAAAAGACACTGAGGTTGGCACACCAACTGGCTTATTTCACTATTTTACTAAGAGTTTGAAATGTAAACAAATGGTGTTGGACCTAAAAAACTGAGCTCAAGGAGCCGGGTACAGAGTGGGAATATCTACATATCTATATATATTGTTACGAAATGGACAGGCGCTTTAAGATAGCTTCCCCGCAAAGCAGTTTTAGGGTTGCCATCAAATGGCAAGGGAAGGCAAAGTTGCCACATTTGGAGAGAAATCGCCAATTTGGCGACATTTGGCGATATACCATGGACGGTTGGAGAACCTTCTGGAACGAATTCTTACCGGTTCAGCCCAGAATGTTCCCGAACACAAGCCGAAAGCTACATAAACCCTGCTGGTCCGCAATCAGTTGGTGTGTCTCTCATCGAGTGTGTGTGTGCCTCGTCTAAAGAGCTGATAGTCAGTCATTGAGCGAATGTCTCGAAGTCTAACGCCAAAGTAGTCGTCGAGTGCATCGAGAGAGTCTTTTAGTGCATCTCAAATTAGTGTATCGTCGAGTTTCGTCATAGACTGTGCTGAGTCGAGAGCTATACTTTTCCGTATCGTCGAGTGCATCGTGGGGAGAGTCTCGAGAGTACGTGGAGTTCCGAGAACAACCAAGTAGAGTTGGAACTGTATTTTAGTGCTTTGCGGTGAAGCTGTCTCCACCGTTATTGCCTGACAGTGTGAAAGCTGTGTCGCTGTTTGTTCCAGCGTATTTATAGTAGATCTTCGACGACTGTAAAAAGTGATTTTGGAGCTGTCCTGAGACTATTGGTAAATAAAGTGTGTTTCGATACTTTATAAAGTGTCGTCGTTATTCACTCCAAATCTACGAACCCCGTACGAACGTGAAAGAATAAAATAACGTAACAATATCTATATCTATGTATATCTATCTTTTACCTTTGCCTATATGAACACGAATTGAGTAACTGAAGAGTTAGGTTTGGGGGCAACTTCCCCTGGATAAGTCTGTCTCCTGCCTGCTCAACACTTATGCAATTTTTAGGAATAATAAATTTATTTTTTTTGGAATAATATATTTTTTCATGGTTTAGATAAGTGCAATTAATTTACATATGCTCTTAGAATTTAAATGATTATGTAAATTAGTTCGCAGCAATTATAATTATTTTTATTTTTATTTCTTTGAAACTAAAATTTCTTGATAAAATTTAAAATTTTAATTTTATATTTGTTTATCCGAATAGAGAATATTTGTATATCTTTATCTATTTATCTCTATATATATTTAGTGCTGCGATTTCTATGAGAAAGAGAGGTGCTCAGTTAAAGTTTATAGAGTTCCATATGCAAAATTTCAATGCTATTCGTTTTTGTTATGCAAGATATATGCTTACGTACATGTATAAACTTCATGAAAAAAAATCTCTTCTGAATTCATCTTAATTCATTTTACAATCCGTTTTGGAGAAAAGTGTTCTTTATTCTGTCCGTAAGTACAGATGTCACGCAAAAACAGGGTTCAAATGGATGAGAAAGTGGTCAAAATGGATATTTTCCTTGAAATATGACATCCGAAGTTTTTCGTTATTACATTACTTCCGTTACTTAGTACCAGGAAGTAAAAAATATCTCTAAATTAGTCGTACTTAGTTTTCATATTTTTCAATGACAACGCAATTATTTCTGTTCCTTCTTCGTGGAATTTTTAAAAAAACTTGCTGTGGCAAAAAATTTCAACATGCGCTTTTGATTTGTGTTAAGTATTTTGAATTGAAGAATTCTCAATGAAATATTGAACTGAATAAACATTCCTGGACTACAAACCAGTCCTCTTAGGGTGCTCTCTTTCAAAACTGGGGATGAAACTGAGCAAAGTCGCACTGTCAACTGCCTGCTGTCCAAGGTTTTTGCCAACGACAGGTTCAATCTTGCCTGTTTTTTGCGATAAGTATCCTAGGCTTGATGCGATGTCAGACAAGCGAGATTAGTCATAACAACAACATTCATACGTACAGACATCACAAAAAATTCCCTTCTGATCGCATTTTAAATCCATTTTACAATTTGGAAAAAAGAGATCTTTATTCTGGCCGTACTTATAGGTGTCTTATAGGTTACGTATAGATGTCTCTTATACGTGCACTTATAGGTTATGAGCTTTAGGTTTAATTTTCAAACATCAAGCACTGATGTAAATCTGAAATGATAACAAAGTTTTCTCAAATAGTCGCATAAGATTCGTTAGTGTTCCGAATATCATTTTAGATTTATTGAAGCTAACTTAGAAACGAAGCTTATTACCATGAAATTCAGACATTTAACTTAAATTGCATTTATCAATGGTAGCTCCGGAGCTTTATGCAGTAAGTGAGGGCTTTATCTGCAAACCAGACTAACAAAATTTACTTTCACTGACCGAATTTTAAAATTGTATGTATATTTGCCAATTTTTAATCACATTGGAGTGATTATCTTATTCCCTCAAAGAATATTTAATATTAATATTATACAAAATAGACTAGAAGAGAAACACGCTAATGTGACAATCAAAATCTTGGGCTAATCTTTGTAATATGGTAACAGGTAGTTTGGCGACATTTTGGTAAGGCGATAAAGGTTAGTAGCTAGGACTTTAGCAATAATCTGAGAAGTACATTCCATCTTGTATCTTGTGTGAAACAGTGTTGCTTAATATTTGGATCCCATGGTCCTCTCTAAAGTAAATTCCAAATTTTTATTGCATGTATGTGATCATCCAAAAAGAGTTGCTTGAATGGTGTATGAGTGTAGGATAAGCGATAAGCAACGGAGGACGTGGGCACTGTCCCTTTACCAAAAGGTTAATCGGTATAGCACCACGTCCACCTATATCTAGAGCCTAAAGAGGAATCACAAGACGCCACGCGCCGGGCGCCCAAACCCAGAGCCAAATTCAACCCGGGGGCAGTCCAACAGACCAAATGCCCACGAAAGACAGTCTCAACAACCGCCCAGGCCCCACATTTATTAAATAAAATAACAAAAGCATGCAGGGCCAAAAAGGGCGAGTTTGTACAATAAGCAAAAATTTACAAAGGTGTAATACACACAAACATAGAATATACATAAGCTAAAGTACAGTCTGATGTTGGGCAGCCCAATAATATACAATGAATAAAATATAGACAGTAGAATTAGACTTAAGGACAATATAACATAAAAATAGAGAACATAGTGAAATAATGAATGTAAATGATTACCGCAATACACAGAGGATATACCAAAAGAAGTAAAAATAAAAGAATACAATGTAACAGAATGCAATAGCGGTACAATACACTTGATCACGTGGTATTGTGGGAAAAACATGCAATAAGGCTAATTATACGATTATGAGGAATAAAAATAACATATTTAGCCTGCATAAAAGTTAACGAATATAAGATGAGTGTAGGATTAATTGCAGATAAGTATGAGTGTCCAACATGTGGGAATGAAATGAGATTGTGTGAAAGGAAGGATATTACAGATAAGTTTGAATGGCGGTGCAAGAAATCTGGTAAAAATGGACTTTCCGGAAAATTCCGATCGTGATGTTAGCTCATAAGCACTTAGAAACAATTTCGCACGTAATCTTCGTCATGATTAAGCACTTTTGTTCCATAAAAGTTCTAGCATAAGCATAATTCGGCTAGCAGATTGTTGGAAAAAATGTTGAGTAAAAAAAACATGCCTTTACTTCGTGAAAACAAAATGGCGTCCAAAAAAAAAAAAAAAAACTCGCAGATTGCTGTAGCAGGGTTGGTCGCCAAATTGTCGCCAAAAAATTGCCAAGGTACCATAATCCGAAGATTCACCAAATCTTGAAATAATAATATTTATTACTCCCAGATATATTTCTAAATATTAACTTAATAAATTGTGTGGGGTCAGGGACGAAGATACAAGTTGGCCTCCCAAAGGTGTAGACGTCATCCGCTGCTGTCATACATGACACTTGAACAGAGTTAACTCTTATGGTTAAGGTATTTCTCCCGCCTTCCTAGTGTACCTTCGTGGTGTAGTGGTTCTGCACGCTGGGCCGGTATTCCAGAGGTCCGTGGTTCGATTCCAGGCGAAGTCGTTGCTAATTTTTCAATTTCAATAATCTCTTGCTTCCAAGAATGCCTAATGTCTCTACAAAATATCTAGGATCTGTAAAATTCCAAGAGAAAAAAGACTGAGAATGCAAATCCTTCTTGAAAGCGAATCACATTTAATACTTAATGCTAATTTCTTTTAACATTTCATTTTCTAAACAACGTATACTTCCTCCCTCCCAAAAAAATACAAGCTTGACTGTCATCCGAAGAATCCGAACTGCGTCATAAACTGCGTATCACCTGTGAATCAAAAAAGAACTCTCTGTACCCCCCACACTCGAAGTCTGCCTGGAAGAGGAACCACATCAGGCAGCTTTTGATACGAAGAATAACCCACTGGAACATCTTGAGGAAGAGAAAAATCGGCCAACAGTTCTAAATTTAAACGTTCGCATTCGGAAACACAAGACGACCTTGCGTGGCGGACCACGTGACCTGGACGAAAATGGGTGTTCCTGTGGGAAGACTTCTCTTACGCTCCGTGCCTTCCCGTCTCCCCCTGCGATTCGGAACCGAGTTTGGATTCGCAAACTCGGTCGCAATCGTTAGTTTATCGTCTCTGCCTGGTTTGTGTCTTTGTCCCACACGGAAGACGTTCTAAGCATCCAAAATGGTGAGCTACTGTTTTACGTTTCTTGAAGAATTTTTCAATATAGGTCGCACAGTTTTAGCCATATTTCTAACGAAAATACGCGTTTCATGATATATGAAAGACCAAACGTACAACAAAACGTTTGTAATTAACGAAATTTGCGAAGAAAATTATAAAAAGAATTCATTTAAATTTTATTTTTGCCCAAGTAGGATATTCAAAAGCAAAAAATGGAGAATCATCAGTCCATTTTTTTTTTTTTTCGAATGAAAATATCAATTAGCAGTTAAATTACTCGTTAATGAAAATTAAGGTTAAATTGTATATGAACATTCTAAGTCAGTTTGGGTTGTTTATTTTATTATTAAATGATAAAAATCTTGCTTGTTATTTTTCTTTACTTTTGAAGTTATTTAACGTTATTGTGACGACTAAGCTGTTGGAACGAAATATTAGACAGAAATGCTAATCATTTATATATATATATATATATACAAGAAGAACAGGCGCAAGGGGATTTTATAATTGCTTGGATACTCCCTGACAGAAAAAGCAATTGTACAAGGTAATTGCCCCTAGCAACTGTACCCAGTTGAACGATTCCAAATGGAGGCAAATTATAATTTACATCATTTTTAAATCAAAAGTCACTGCAAAGACTCTTACGCGTTTTAGATCAAGAAAATTCACCTGTGCCGTCGCCGGGATTCGAAGCATGGATTTTTCAATCACCATTTACACTACAAGAACACGCACGATAGAGGGAAATAATTCCTTACAACATTACTCAAATCTTATGTAGTCTTTCTATTTAAAAATTTAAAATTAAAATTTCTTAGGGTCTTTTAATTTTTTGAAACGTGAAATAAAACTGCAAAATTTTGAATAAACTAATTATTTACATATTTGTTTCGTAATGTAATAACATTGGTAGCAGTTTAATTTATTAATTCGTTATCTAGCAAAATGGAATTGCTAACCTTTTGTCCTTCTACAACAAAGGACATATCTTAATTGCAAGTCGTAAAACACTTTCCGATCTGTAAATAATTTTTATTTTTCAAATATTTGGAGAAAATTAAAACAAATTATGTACTTTCTTTTCATTAAATAGTAATGTAAAAATAAATATCGGCCTTTTAAAGAAAATCTGTCTTTTACAAAATTTTCTTAAGCATGTATTTATAATTAATCTTATAATAACTTTATAATCATCATCATATATTTATAATTAATACTTAATTTTACTCCTTAATACTTAATACTTTAATACTCCTTTAATTGCGTAATTATCTATTTCACCTGTTCGAATAGCTAGACATTAAGTTATACCTTTTTGAATTGATCAAAGATGTATTAACTGAAAGAAGTTATATTTTCGCTCTTCGCATTTTTACAGCCGTCTTGAAATTTTCAACTAATTTGTATTTTATATTTTACATTATATTATATGTATAATTTCTTGATTTCGTACTTCTTAAGAAAAATTAATTTTTAAGTCGCTTAAATGCATTTAAAAATAGTTTATTTATTAATCGAAACTATTTGAACTCGTTTGTAACCTAAGCCAACCAATGGCCGAGCGGCAAAATCGCTGAACATTGGTAGTTCAGCAATTCCTGGGTTCGATTCCGGGAGAACAGGCTGGCAGCATGGGCGTTTTTATGGCTGTCCTATGTGTAACGTATATCCGAGCCGGTTTCCCTTACAAAGTCCTCCACGAAGGCATCCCTCTCGTTAAGAAATGAAGACTATTCTTTACAATCAGTCTACCAAATTAATATGGAAAATATTTATGTATTTCCTTTTTAGAACTTTATAAAAATTACTTTAAGTTACAGAAAAACACTTTTTTTGTTTTAAAACAGACAAGGTATAAATATTAGCTGCCAGGAAACATACAGCACTTGAGAATATGAGTAAAGATTTGTATGTTATTCACAGGTTATTCTATGTTATTCAGATGGACATTTGTTTTGCTGTAATATAACTTGATAAAAAATATTCTCCCAAGGAAATAAAATTAAAAAATACTAATTCTAAACTTTAAAACATTTCAAATAATAATGCTCAGATACTTTTAAAAAACATATAAAATCCCTGTTCTTATGCTGATTACTTTTGAAAAACATATAAAATCCCTGTTCTTATGTTGATTCACAGGCAATAATTTTTAAAATTGTTTCCTGGAGATTTACTTAATAACAGCAAGGTAAAACAAATGGGAAAAATCACAAGATTAGTAACTATTTATAAAAAATTTTATTATTTTTAAATTCGTCAGTTTTATAAATATATATGTACGTAGTTTCTTTTAATTATACGTATTAACACAACAGTTTCACATGCATAATTATGTTGATCACATTTTTTACAGTTTGTACTATTTACCTTTTCCTGGAGCACTAAAAGTAAAATACATCATGCAAATAACACATTTATGTGATTTTTTTTTCAATTTGTCTTAAAAAAGAACTTTAGTTTTTAAATAAGGCAAACTCAAACTGCCTTATATCATTTCAAAACTGCCTTATAACTAAATTTAGGAACAGATATATGAAAAGAAATAGCTTATTGAAATGTGCATGTTAAAAAATGCAGAATGCTTTGCACTAAGCTTAAAATACTTTAGAAAATAGTTTAAGAAATATATATTCTTTATCATATTTATTCCTTTATTTTATAACTCATAATATAAATAATTATATATAAAGGAATATAACTCATATTCCTTTATTTTATAACTTTCATAAACTGCATATGAGAACTCCAAATATGAATGCATTTCTTTAAAACTCACTTAGAGAATTTCATAACACTGAAATGTATGTCAGTTCAATGATTTAAGTGCATTATTCATTTCCAAAATAAATACATTTCATAAATGTCTTATTAAAAAAACCTTTCTGCTTTTAATTACATTTCATGTAAATTAAAATATCTTTTCTATTCTTCTAGGTTGAGGAACTTAGCAAAGAACAAGTTGAAAGTAAGCATTGACTATCACAACTAATTTTCAAACCTTTTCTATGTTGCGCAATTTAATTAACAATCTTTAATTATGAAATTCATGCATTTAAGAAATACTTCAAGACTTATTCTAAAGGGAAAAAACACGTGTTTTCTCGTCTCCTGTAGAATTAATTCCTTTCAGTAAATGTTTTAATAGGCTACAAAATGAATTTACTTAAAAAGTGCCTTTTTTTCACTTTTCTTTGGCTGTTTCGTAATTTTTTATAAGTTTTATTATTTGAACGATAATTATTAGATAAATACTATAATTTTCTTAATTCAATAACAGTATGTAAAAGGATATTGCTCATGTTAACTAACATTTTAACGTTATTTTTTATTTCAAACGATAAAACTACAAATATGAATTCGAAAAGTCATCATTATTTTTTATAAATGAGGTACATATTCAAATAATTAGTTCCTGAATGAATAAATGATAAATATGTGTGATTACTTTAAACATTAATTTTTTTGCAATGTCTGTGACAGAAACGTAAGTTTAATTTTGATCCTCAAGATAAACACAATTAAACACTAGCGGGAAAATTATAAGCATTAGGAAAAACCTCAAGATACAGAATTAAATTTATCCATTAAAGAAAAACTTTATTCATTTAAAAAACTTTTAAATCAAAAGATATATGCTTCATTCCTCTCAATTAAATTAGTATAGTAAAATACTGCACTATGCTATTCATTTTTTCTCGTGTAAATATTTTCTTTAATTCTTTCTCTAATTTATTCTTTTCATTACTATCTTTCTTTTATCCATATAAAATTTAGAATTACATCACAATATTATTTAATTAAGTTTAAGTGTATGTGTAAATTGATTATTATATTTCTTTTTGGCCCACCTAAGAAAGATATACTCTGGTTCTCCTCATTTACTGTTTCTTTAGAAGTTTCCATTAGTAGTCTAAAATACATCAAAATAATCCAACTTTTAAACTCCTTTTTCATCTGTATAATACTTCTTTCAATAATGCACCAATTCCGATATCTTTATCTTGGAACACGTTGGAGATATTATTAACCCAAAGTGGAAATTTGCACAGAAGGGCTGTTTGGCATTTTGCGTCGTCCACTATAAAGCGGCCCACCAGCGGCCGAGCGGTAAAGTCGCTGAACACTGGTAGTTCGGTCCGAGGTTCGAATCCCGCAAAAGGGCTGGCTGCATGGGCGTTTTCGTGGTTTTCCCCATGTGTGACGTGTATACGAGCCAGTTTCCCTTAGAAAGTCCTCCACGAAGGCATCCCTCCTCTTAGGCAGATAGCCCTCGAGGCTTTGCCATGATCACACGCACCACACCACCACTATAAAGCGGCGTTTCACTTTTCAAATTGTTGCCGCCAAATATTAGAGCCCTGCATTATATTTAAAGAAATTAAATAATGAAGAATCTGCATGTATGTATGTTTCTCGCACTGTGAAAAAATAACAGTATCTAGAAACATCCAATTTTGAATAACGTAATTCTTCCCTCGAATATGGGCATCTGGAAGCCCAAATTTTGAATTTGTTTTATTATCTATTTCTTATTTTCTAAACCTTTAACGAATTTTTGATTAACAAACTCAACGATTTCAAAGCGAGCAATGGCAAAACGGCATGGGGGAGAGGGAATAATTTTTATCTTCAGCGCGCGAGACTGTGTGTCGAAAATTTTAAAGATATGCTGCTTTTAAATTATTTTGTGATATTACTGTTGAATTGAATTTTATGGTTAAGTACGAAGAACATGATATTTAATGTTTAAAAAAAGCTTCTTTGGGTGTAATATAAAATCTGAAAGCTTTCAAATTTTCTTATATGTTTTAAATCACTAGGTAACTTTTTTAATTCCGAAATTTTTAATTTTTTTTACGTTTTTCAAGAGCCGTTTTAGTTATCTTTTTCCAAATGCAAAGATAAAAAAGTGGAAAAATATGTAATAAATATTCGATTATTATTACAATACAGCAAATCTGAAAATCTAATAATTTATACTGCTTATTTTGACTTTATTTATTTATTTTTGCATCTAAATTTATTTTAATTTAATATTTTACTGTAGGGGTCTACAATATTAAAGTTTAAGTAAGATGATAATTGGCAAACCAAAATTTTGTATAATGAATAGGAAGAATTTGACCATTTTTACCATTTGGAAGAATATTATTTAACAATAGGTTTAGTGTCCTGAGAAAGGTATTTGACAGCAGTACACAAAAAATAATAAATGATTCAAATTTCAGATTTTTTTCCCTCCCACAGATACTCTTTTGGCTGAAATCCAAACTGAAATTTTCGTCACATTTTTATTTGCAAAACCAGACGAAAAATATGGCACAATACCATAAGTTCACTGACCTGATATTCTTCTGCAAAAAATAATCGAATTTTACATTATTATGTGATTTTTTAAGATGGCTTGCAAAACTTTTTTTTTTTTTTTAGTCCAAAGGGGCTTTGTCCCTGAAGGACTATTGTTTTCGTTTTGCGATTTTGCGTCGGACTCCTATAAACGTCGGTTCACTTTTCAAACTGTTGCCACAAAATGTTAGAGTCCCGCATTATATTTGAAGAAATTAAATAATGAAAAATCTGCATAAATGATTGTCTATTTCTCGCATTGTGATAAAACAATGGTACATAGAGCCATCGAATTTTGAATGACGAAATCCTACTGCGAATATGGGCATCTGAAATCCCAAATTTGGAATTTGTTTTATTATAGATTTTATATTTTGTAAAACTTTAACGAATTTTTGATTTACAAACTCAATGCTTTAAAAGCGAGAAATAGCAACGTTATATAGAAAAAAATTACTTTTATCTCCAGCTCGCGAGACTGTGTATATCGGAAATTCTAAAGATATGCTTAATTTAACATTATTTTCTGATATTGCTCTTGAACTGAATTTTATGGTTTAAGTGCAAAGAACATGATATTTAATAAACAAAGGTAACACTCAAAACGTTAAAAAAACGCCCCTTTGGACGTCATTTAAAATCTGAAACACTTCAGATTTTTTTTTTTTCTTTTTTTGTCTTTTTATTACTAACGTTTTGTGTGTTAAATTTATTAATGAAATATCATATTCTTCCCACTTACGCCAGATATGTGCCACTTACGCCATGTATTAAACTCAGGATCCATTTTCGGTGGAAGGATATTTATTAAATAAGAAAGAAGAATAGCGAATTATGTTCAGTAATTGTTTCTTTCTCAGTCAAAATTCCAAAATTTTTATTAGAAAATTTTACTGGAAATATTAAGTAAAAATAAATAATATAGTCGTCAGCAATGATTGCAAAATTATAAAATTTAGGTATTGTGTTTAGTTTTAATTAATACTGTTGCGTGCGTACGGGTTCGTTATGAAATGAATGCACAAGTCCGATGAAAAAATGAAAAATGAATAAAAAAAAAAATTTATTATTATCACAACAAAAAATGCTTAAATTTTCTCAAATTATCATGCAGTAGTATTACAATATCTCACAGTAGTTATCTTTTAACTACTCAAATGTTCAATAGAACGCAATTAAAAACAGCTAAAGAACGCTAATCCGCGAATTCGCTACAATCAACAAGAGCAGTTTTCTAAACAACAACAAACTAAGCAACTACTACAAACTGAGATGTTTTCCTCCTTTTATAAGATTTTTAAAATCACGCGCTAGAATTTTCCAGTACTTTCTCGAAATCAAAAAGAGATATTTATTTATTTAATGCACGCGCTCTTGTAATTTCAATTTTACGGCTTAGCTTTCTTTTAATATTCGTCACGCGCTGCACTGCGCGAGAAATAAAATCATTTAATTTGTAATTGAACTAACATTAGCTTTTTAAATACCAAATTCGTAACACTGCCCCCCTTCCCAAGGACTGCACGTCCCGGGCAGTACAATCCCTGGACAGGAAGCTAAACTTACAACTGTGGCATAAATGCATTAATAAGCATTACATTACAATAATAAACAACATGAACAATAAATGCAATACATAATAAAACAAATCAAATACACATTTAAAAACAAAATGGACCATGGTCTTATACTATTTACAATTATTTACATTATGTACTATGGCCATAGTAATGAGCTAACCTGTCGTAATGAACGACTTTAGGTTTAGAGTTCGAAGACTTACGAATCCGAACCACGACGTCATTCAGCCTGTTTAGGACTGTGTACGGCCCATCCCAAGGTGACTGTAATTTCGGACAAAGTCCTTTCCGTCGAGTCGGATTCCACAACCACACCTTGTCTCCTTCGTGGAATTGATGTTCAGTAGCTCTTGTGTCGTATCGGGTCTTCATCTTCTCCGTCGCCAAGTTGACTGTTGACTCGCTCTCGTGCAAAATTGTGCATCACTTCAAACCGGGCCTGGAGATCTTGAATATATTCCTCAGACGATGAAGGAGCATCCGGAGGGCGGCCAAACAATAGATCACAAGGCAGACGAAGGTTACGACCGAAGAGCATCTGTGATGGAGAATAGCCGGTAGTCTCGTGGACAGCACTGCGGATAAGCCAGTAAAAAGAGTGGTAATTTCTTGTCCCAGTCCTGTTGGTTTCTGGAAACCACTAATGAGAGGTTATTAAGGATGGTTCGATTGAACCTCTCTACCATGCCGTCCGACTGGGGATGCAATGGCGTCGTTTTTGAGTTTTGTCAATGCCAAGTAGTTTGCATAGTTCTTTGATTACTGCCGAGGCAAAATTCCTTCCCTGATCGGAATGTAACTGAAGAGGCACTCCGAACCTGGAAATCCAGTGCTGTATCATTACCTCAGATACTGTGACTGCCTCTTGATCAGGAATAGGATAAGCTTCAGGCCACTTGGTGAAGTAATCAATGACAACAACGAGTATGTATTTGTTGCCATCAGCAGTTCGTGGCAGAGGTCCCAGGATGTCAAAGGCGATACGTTCAAAAGGCGCACCTACGTTGTAACGTTGCAGTCTGCCTCGGCTGCGTTTCCT